GCGTGCGGCGCGAAAGCGCGCAGCCAAGCCTGCGCAGGGAACAGGGCTCGTGAGCCCCAGCGAATCCTGCGCGTGCGCACTGGCGACCTGGGCTGCGCGTGCAGCCAGCGCGCGAGAGCTCTGCAGGAACTGCGGCGGGGACTCGCTGGAGCAAGGTCCCGATCTTTAGCTCCAAGGAGATTCCTGAGTCGTTTTTCCATCTTCCTTTCTTGTCTCCTGGGGAATGGAGTTACTGGTATAAACCCTTCGTCTGCCTATGGACGCTTGTAGGAAAAGCTGGATACTGTAACTGACAAGATTTGATCATTCAAGTGGTGCTGGCTGACAACTTAGCACTTATTTATTTAAGGTCTTGCTCCGCGGCAGATTTTTTTTTTTAATCCTCTGCAGATTTTTTTCTCTCTCTACCAGTGGTTTTCAATCTTGACTACACATTAAAATCACTTGGGCTTTTAAATATCCCCGTGAGCCTGGCTGATCCATTAAATCAGAATCTTTGGAGATGAAACTACTCCAGGCATCCGTAGTTTGTAAACCTCCCGAGACTGCTCTGCCAAGAATTGTTCCAAGAACCTAATGTATTAATGGCCCACCTTAAAAGAACAAAACCTTACTTAATCCCACATCCCCCTCCGTATCTTTGCTCCTTTTAAAAAGGAGTTTTCTACATACCGTGTCGGCTTTCTTATCTTTCTTTTTTGAGTCCATTTCCCTCTTGTCAAGGTCACTAAGAACATCAATTTATAAAATCCTATGGACAGTTCCAGTTCTCATCATACTAGACCTTAGACTTCTAAGTATACGTATTAAGAAAAAGTTTACCTCTTCAATGCCTTTTTTTTAGACGGAGTCTTGCTCTGTCGCCCAGGCTCGAATGCAGTAGCACAATCTCGGCTCAGTGTAACCTCCGCCTCCAGGGTTCAAGTGATTCTCGTGCCTCGGCCTGCCAAGTAGCTGGGACTATAGGCACACACCACCACACCCGGCTAATTTTTGTATTTTCAGTAACGACAGGGTTTCCCTATGGTGGCCAGGCTCGTCTCAAACTTCTGACTTCAGGTAAGACGGCTGCCTCGGCCTCCCAAAGTGCCGGGATTACAGGTGTGAGCTCAACTGCCTTTTATGGTTACACTCTACTACTCTGTCTTGGCAAAATTACTGACTGTGGTTCTCTTTAATCTCAAAAGTGTCCCATTGGTACTTCTGCTATCAAAGACATTACTGGGACAATTGGTAAAATTTAAATAATGCCTACAAATTAGATAATAGTTTTGAAGTCATGTTAATTTCCTTTCACAACCACAGAAAAATTTGCAAAATCAGTTGGTCTGGGGTGGGGTCCTACAAGTTAGGTTTCCAACTTTCCAGGTGATATACAGTTGCAGCTGGCCCAAGAACCATAGAACTAATGATACAAGGGAATGACTTTGTAGGAAAAATCCACTGAAGTATTTAAGGGTATGGGTATCATGTCTGCAACTTACTTTCAAACAATTCAGAAAAAAAGTGTCTGTCTATAGATAAGTAGAGGAATAGAAAAGAATAAAACAATTATAATAAAATGTTAACATTTGGAGGATCTGAGTGAAAGGCATATGCAAATTCTATGTATTATTCTTGCAACTTTTCTGTGTCTGAAATTGTCAAAATAAAAAGTTAAAATGTGTGCTGGTTTGGATAATAAATCCTATGGTCAGCTTTCACTCTGTCTGAAGGCTTTATCATCTATGGAGTAGTGACTCTCAAGTATTAGTCTCTTGACCTACCTCTCCCCTTAATTCCATCTAAGTGGAGGTGGTCAGTAGGTTGTGATATACATCACAATGATATACATCACAGCCTATTGACCACCTCCACCTAGATGGCTACCAGGCATTGCAATTTTATTTTGACTCCCTCCACAACAAACAAACCAAAACCTCCTTTCGCAGTATATCTGCTGTACCACCATTCACCCAATTACTCCAGCCAAAAGGCTTGAAATTATCCTTAAATCTTCTCTCTGTACTTTCAGCATGCATCACTAAGAATCTAATCACTTCTTACCTCCTCTACCTCCACTACTCTAATCCAAGCTACTAACACCTCTTTCCTGGAATACTTTGAAAGGCTCCTAGCTGGAGAACCTCTCTGCTTCCATTGTAGTTAATTTGCCACACAGCACCCAAAATGATCTTTATAAAATATAAATCATAATGTCACTCTCTTGCTGGTAATATGCTAGTATATACCATCACAGAATAAAATCCAAAATTCCTTCCTTGGCTTATAGGACACTATGTGATCAGGTCCATTGCTGCTGCTTCTATCTCATTTCTTTCCATTTCAACCTTATTTACTGGCATCATCCAAACTCAGTGTGCTAGGCAGAAGATGCCCATGTCCTAATCCCTGGAATCTGTGAATATGTTACTTTACATGGTAAGTGGGATTTTGTAGATCTGATTAAGTTAAGGATCTGGGAATAGGGAGGTTCCTGGATTATCCAGGTGGGCCCAAAGTAATCACAAGAACCCTTGTAAGTTAAAGAGAGACAAGAGTGAGAGTAAGAGGAGACGTGACCACAGAAGCAGATGTCTGAGATTTGAAGATGCTCCATTATTGACTTTGAAAATGGAAGGAGCCAAAAACGGGTAGCATTTTTGGAAGTCAAAAGTCCAAATTGAGTTTCACTAAGCTAAAATCAAGTGTTAGCAACGGTGCATTCCTCCTGGTTGCTGTAGGGAAAAAACCATTCCCTCACCTTTTCCAGTTTCTAGAGGAGGCCTGCTTTCCTTAGTTTGTGGCCCCTTCCTCCATCTTCAAAGCCAGCAGCAGAACATCTTCAAACTTCTCCCTGACCTGTTTCCTTCTTTCACTTATAAAGATCCTTGTGATTAGAGTCCACCAGACAATCCAGGATAATCTTCCCATCTCAAAATACTTAATTTAATGACATCTTCAAAGTCTCTTGTCATATATAACATAGAGGTTCCTGGAATCTGAACACATCTTCTGGAGGCCATTATTCTGCCTACTACATAGCTTTGTGAACTTACATGATGAACATGTTGGAATTTCCTGTTCAGTTCTGCAACTTATATTTTGATATACAAACTTTAAAAAGAAAATGAAATTTCAGAACCTTCCAAATTTATTAAGCCGAGGGAGAGAAGTTCAGCCCTGAAAACTGAGTCGTGTAATACAGCTGTTTTTCTTCTCTGGTACATGACTGTTGTTACTTCCTGACCTTTATGTTGAAATGTTATATATTAATCGGACTCCCTATTCTTCATTCAAACCTAGACTACATAATAATGGAACTGTAGACCCTTGTGATTGTTACTTTCTTACAAAAAATATTAAGCAACCGCCTTAGAGTGTAATCAATAGCAGTCAATCAGATCTTAAATCTGGATGTTATCTGTTGTTTGGAAGATGTTGTAATTCTTATCGGCATCTCCATTTTTGTCTTCTATAAACAATCTTCACTTTTCCTCACACTGGAAGCACGTATCACCATTTTTTGGTGTCTACATGTTCCCATGTGACTGCCCTCATACTTTCCAGTTGAATAAACCCTTTTAACTGGTTCCTTAGCCTTTTGATTATTTTAGGGTGACAAGACAAACCAGGCCATGTTCCCAGAACAACTAGGATAGTAAAGAGCCCACCTCGTATGCAGAACAGTTAAAAGAGTCATGCAGATTTATCTAAGAAAAGAAGGGCCACAGAACTAAACTGATTCTGTCATCATACGAACTGTTTTCAAATATCAGCAGATGAGGGGTTTTGGTTAACTACATACAGGACACTAGCTAGCAAGAAATCATCACAATAAGTTATGAATTTTCAGGAAGCTGCACTATTATTCTACAGTGAAAATGGGGGAGCAAGGATGGGACATCTTTTAAATCACTGTCAGCATTCAGGAGATACAATGCAAGGTCCAAGATCATCTAATTTATTGTTTCCTAGATAAAAGACAATATCCAGTACACTTGGTTTAATTGCTTCCTTACGTTAAATGTTCTGCAAATCGAATGCACTTTAATTTAAAAAAAATCAATTATCTTGCTATTCTCAGAATGACTTGCAACAAATCCTTAAAATAACATTGATCACATAGAAGAAAAGGGGCCTTGGAAATCCATTGGTCCAGATCTTTCATTTTCAATAAGAAGTAAATTTTATCTAAAAGTTAACCTGAAAGGCTATAGGGGTAGGGAAGGAGAACAATTACGCAATAGGAACAATAGGAAAAGGTTGTGGCACGTTAGTAACATGCCTACAGAGTTTTTTCTTGATGCTTGCAAAGTCATAAGTTAAAACGCACTGAAATAAATGCCTTATGATTGTTTCTGATTATGCTGTTGCTGATTAATTACCTATTTCCTACCTCTTTATCAGCAAAACCAAGAAGTTGAGAGGGTTGAATAGGCAAAATGTAAAGGGTAAGACTAGGCTTTGCGATCAGGCGTAGTGGATTTGCATCCCAGATGTCCATTTACTAGCCATGAGAACTTCAGAGAGTAATTTAACCTCACGTTCTGGGGAAATAAATCAGAGAATATACGCATAGAATTTTTAGGGGTCAGCGTTCCAATCAATCCCTGCTGCAGTTGTTGGGACTTGGCTTTTATTCTGCACATTTCCAAAGAGACAGTAGCAACTGGGAAACGCTAAAATAAGGGTTCTTTTACAGACGATCCTAAACCCTCAACAGGCGGGCGCCGATGCCGTCCGCTAAATACAAACCCAGTCTGTGTTACAGAGGCTCCCTGCGCCGGAAGTGACTCTGCCCCAACTAACATGGCGTCCAGGCGATTTCCGCTCTCTTCTGGACAGTAATTGGGCTCTGCGGCTTCTCGCGGTTTTACCAGTTGCCATCCGTTTAGCATACGCCGCCAGCTTGGTCCTTTTCGAGGAGGGCGGGGCTAAAACGGAGACGCTGCATGGTGATTGATTGTGGCGCGTTAGTAACGCGGCTACTGGGAATTGGACAATTCAGGCTTTGCTTGGTTGCTGAGAGGCGGGGCTCCTCGACTGCTCCGGAGGTAGCGGCCGCGGGGAGGAGAGCCATGAACCAGGCAGTCAAGGTGACAGGGCCCGGGGAAGGGGTGGGTGCGATGCGGACGGGGAGGGTAAGTTCGCGGACTTGAGAAAATTGTCTGAAGCCTCTGGAGGCTGGGGTTCCGGACCCTTTACGGAGTATGTGGCTGTTACTCCAGAGAAGTCAGATGACCAACTCCGAAGGGCAGTTGCGGGTTTGTGCAGGTGCGGAGCAAAGCGGGAGGCACCAGTGTGGTTCACTACGAGGTACGCAGTGTTTATCCAAGATACAAGCCCGCAACTTGAGTTCTGCCCCCATTTCATCTTCAGACCGAGTATTTGTCTGAGGGACCCATTTCACATCCCTGGGAAGTATAGGAGACGCCAAAGGCAGACCTAAGCAACAGCAGTTCAATGAAGTGAAAAGTTTATTTGAATAAACAGAAGGTGCACAGAAGTCTAGCAGCCGAGGAAACCGAACCCCAGCAAAATTACTTGTCAAAAGTAACACAGCAAGACAGAGCAGGGGCTGGTGACACCTGAGCTCACTGAATGAGCTTGGCATGTGCTGGCTGTGCTCGGATCATCTCTCTGAGTACTTACCTGATCTCAGATTCATTTCTCACACCCAAGCATGATGCATGTTCCTGCCCGGTGCACAGTTCTCATTGGCAGCCATCCATTAACGTTTACTATCAGCGTGGCCATTTGGGACCGTAGTTGTCACTGGCTGAAACATAAACAAGGAAATGTGGAAATGGCCTGCTATAACATGGTGAAGAAAAGCAGTGTTTGCGCTTGATCAATAATAGGGAGCCACCAAACAGTCCTCATGTACTTTTGTACATAATGTCACAGCATCAATAGAAACAGAACTGCTCAGGGTTATTCATTAAAAAAAAAATTATTCGAATGTCCATAATAGTTATTATTATAGCCAACAGCCAACATTTAGCCTATATTGTCTAAGCATATTGGATGCCACAATAAACTGAACATCCTTGCCTTCATAAAGACATCTAGCAGGTAGGGAAACTTTAAACAGTTATTTCATTATGGTTGTAATAAGTGCTTTGATTTGAAAATACTGTGTTTTGTGAGCATATAACTAGGATTTAACATATCTGGAGGGACTTTAAAAGATCTCTCAAGGGACCAAGTGCAATGGCTCACACCTGTAATCCCAGCATTTTGGGAGGCCGAGGCAGGAGGATCACCTGAGGTCAGGAGTTTGAGACCAGCCTGAGCAACATGGTGAAACCCCCTCTCTACTAAAAATACACAAATTAGCTGGGCATGGGGGCAGATTCCTGTAATTGCAGCTACTCAGGCTGAGGCACAAGAATTTCTTGAACCTGGGAGATGGAGGTTTCAGTGAGCCGAGATTGCACCACTGCACTCCAGCCTGGTGACAGAGCAAGACTTCATCTCAAAAAATAAATAATCTCTCAAGGAAGTTCAGACCTGAAGTTTGATTAGAAATTAGCTAGAGGAGAGAAAAAAGCATTCCTGAAAAGGCAGCTAGCACATGGAAAGTCCTTGAAGTGGGGATTTGGTTGGAAAACTTGGATACAAATGAAATTAAGTAGGATTCATTCCAAAAACACTTTTGGTAAAGTCTATCATGTATAGAAGGCACTTAAGCAACATGTGGAAAGATACAAAGGTGACCAATCCAGCCAGGGTATCAACAAGACTCTGTCTCAAAAAAAAAAAAAAAAAAAAAAAAAAAAGTGAAACCCAGCACAAAAATTATAACCCTTAAAATCAAGCCATTATTCAAGAAAATTGAGGCCAAAAGGCTGTTACTTGTCCAAGCTTACATTAAGTGACAATCTCAGATTCAAACTGATCTGACTATAAAGAATCCACTTTTCATATACACTGCCTGAATTTGTCCAATCAGTATAAGTAAATGAGGAAAAGAATACAGTCTGTGACCTGGCTTTCTACGTTTAATAAAAGTTTATCTGCTCCAAGGTAATGTTAACTGCAGTAGTGCTATGGCAATAATAATAACATTTTCTTATACTAGTCCTCTTAAATTAGGGATGCTAATTTGTTGTACTAATGGAGTCATCTGTCTTCTTTAAACAGCATGTAAAATCATTAGGTTTACTTACTTCTCACTTTTTTAACCCCATGCAACCTGTGTCTGCTCCTGCAGTATTAAAGTCCCTGGGATTCTATGATGCTTGCAAAGTTCGTATTTTTACCAATAATCTTTTCAAGGCAGTCTCAGCTTTTACTATCAAGCACCTCAGAATTATCCCAGCCTCTTCACATTACTCAATTCCAAAGCCACTTTCACATGTTTAGATACAGGCATACCTAGGTGTTGCGGGTTTGGTTCAAAGCCATGGCAACAATGCATATATTGCATTAAAGCAAGTAAAACAAGTTTTTTGGTCCCAGTACATATGAAAGTTATGTTTACACTATAATGTAGTCTATTAAGTGTGCAATAGCATTATGTCTTTTGAAAGTACATACCTTAAATTAAAAATACTTTATTGCTAGAAAATGCTAACAGTTATCTGAGTTTTCAGCAAGTTGTAATCTTTTTGCTGATGAAAGATCTTGTCTAATGTTGATGGCTGCTAATTGATCAGATTAGTAGTTGCTGAAGGTTGGGATGACTGTGACAATTTCTTAAAATAAGATGACAATAAAGTTTACCACATTGATTGACTTTCTCTCTCACAAAAGATTTCTCTGCACCATGCGATCCAGTTTGATAGCATTTTACCCACAGTAGAGCAACTTTCAAAATTGGATTCAATCCTCTCAACCCTGGCCACTTATCAACTAAGTTTATATAATATTCTAAATCCTTTGTTGTTATTTCAACAACGTTCACAGCATCTTCACCAGGAGTGAAGTGATGTGAGTGATGATCTTCATAAACTCAAGAATCGACTTTCTTTGCTTATCCATGCAACCCCTCATGCATTTAAGTTTTATCAAGATTGCAGCAATTCAGTCACATCTTAAGGCTTCACTTCTTATCCTAATTTCATTTTCACTTTCCACATATCTGCAGTTAATTCTTCCACTGAAGTCTTAAACCCCCAAAGTCATCCATGCGTATTCAAATCAGTTTCTTCCAAATGCCTGTTATTGTTGCTTTTTTTACCTCCTTTCTTGAATTCTCTGAACGGTATCTAGAATGGTGAATCATTCCCAGGAGGTTTTCAATTTACTTTGCCTAAATTCATCAGAGGAATCACTATGGCAGCTGTATCCTTATGAGTCTTTTAAATATGACTTGGAAGTCTGGCTCCTGCCTTTAATCCCAGCATTATGGGAGGCTGAGGTGGTGGATTGTTTGAGTTCAGGAGTTCAAGACCAGCCTGGGCAACATGGCAAAACCCATCTCTACAAAAAGTACAAATATTAGCTTGATGTGGTGGCATGCGCCTGTGCTCCCAGCAACTTGGAAGGCTGAGGTGGGAGGATCACTTGAGCCCAGGAGGTCGAGGCTTCATCAGTAAGCCATGATTGTACCACTGCACTCCAGCCTGGGGACAGTACAAGGCCCTGTCTCAAAAAAAATAAAAAGGACTTGAAAGTCAAAATTACTACTTGACCTTGACATGTGGGGTTGCAAAATGGATGTTGTTTTGACAGCAATATTAATTTGAAAGCAATATTAATTTCATGAAAGCAATATTAATTTCCTTGCACATTTCCATCAGAGCTCTTGGGTGATGAGGTATGTTGTCAGTGAGCAGTAATATTTTTAAAGAAATCTTTTTTTCTTCTGAGAAGTAGATCTCTACAGTGGGCTTAAAATATTCAGTGAACTATGCTTTAAACAGACACACTTTGTTGATTTGTAGAGCACAGATAGAGTAGATTTAGCATAATTCTTTTTCCTTTTTTTTTTTTTTTTTTTTTGAGACAGAGACTTGCTCTGTCGCCAGGCACCAGGCTGGAGTGCACTGGCACAGTCTTGGCTCACTGCAACCTCCACCTCCCGCGTCAAGCAATTCTCCTGCCTCAGCCTCCCAAGTAGCTGGTACTACAGGCATGCGCCACACGCCCAGCCATTTTTTTTGTATTTTTAGTAGAGACGGGGTTTCACTATGTTGGCCAGGATGGTCTCGATCTCTTGACTTCATGATCCGCCCGTCTCGGCTTCCCAAAGTGCTGGGATTACAGGCGTGAGCCACCGCGCCCGGCCTTCCTTTTTTTTTTTTTTTTATAGACAGAGTCTTGCTCTGTGTCCCTGGCTGGAATACAATGGCGCAATCTCTGCCTCCCGAGTTCAAGCCAGCCTCTACACATTACTCAATGTAACGTGTAGCACCTGCCTCAGCCTCTTGAGCATCTGGGATTACAGGTGCCCACCACCACGCCTGGCTAATTTTGGTATTTTTGATAGAGACAGTTTCACCATGTTGCCCAGGCTGGTTTCAAACTTGCAACCTTAGGTGATCTGCCCACCTCAGACTCCCAAAGTGCTGGGATTACAGGCATGAGCCACCGTGCCCAGCCATTAGCTCTTCTTTGGGTTTTGGGGGGTGTTTTTGTTTTTTGTTTTGTTTTGAGACAGGGTCTTACTCTGTCACCCAGCCTGGAATGCAGTGGTATCATCTCAGCTCACCGCAACCTCTGCCTCCCAAGCTCAAGAGATCCTCCCACCTCAGCCTCCCAAGTAGCTGGGAACACAGGCCACCATGACTAGCCAATTTTTCTGTTTTTTGTAAAGGCAGGATTTTTCCATGCTGCCCTGTCTTTACAAAAAATGGCTGGCTACTCCACCACGCCAGACTAATTTTTCTATGTTTTGTAAAGACAGGGTTTTGCCATGCTGCCCAGGCTGGTTTGTTGTTGTTGAGACAGAGTCTCACTCTGTCACCTAGGCTGGAGTGCAGTGACATGATCTTGGCTTACTGCAACCTCCACCTCCCAGGTTCAAACGATTTTCCTGCCTCGGCCTCCTGAGTAGCTGGGATTACAGGTGGCCGCCACCACGTCCAGCTAATTTTTTGTATTTTTTAATAGAGACAGGGTTTCACTATGTTGGCCAGGCTGGTCTTGAACTCCTGACCTCAGGTGATACGGCTTGACCTCCTAAAGTGCTGGGATTACAGACGTGAGCCACTGCGTCTGGCCCAGGCTGGTCTTGAACTCCTGAGCTCAAGGGATCCACCCACCTCAGCTTCCCGACAGGTTGGGATTATAGGCATGAGCCACCGTGTCTGGCCTGCATTAGCTTATTAAGAGCTAATTAAGCTCTTATTAATACAGATATTTTGCATTTTACCTCCCTGTTAATGAGTTGATGGACATTTAGGTTATTTCTACTTCATCATTATTATGAATAATACTACCATGAACATTAGTGTACAGGTTTTTGTGTGAACATGTTTTCATTTGTCTTGAGTATGTACTTAGTAGTAGAATTTCTAGGTCATAAGATAACTGTAGACTTAACTCTTTTTTTTTTTTTTTTTTGAGACGGAGTTTCGCTCTTGTTACCCAGGCTGGAGTGCAATGGCACGATCTCAGCTCACCGCAACCTCC